CCTAATAGGAAATAGTACCCTATCTCCTTCTTTAGTTAGACCCTTACTAGTTCTAAACTTAACTAGGAAATCTATAATAAAGAATTATTTGCTATAATCTATGCCTTTAAGAAATAGCGTGCTAACCTAATAAGTACTTAGCACTTTATTAGAGTATATACAGACTACTAAGTATTAGAGTACTTTATATCTACTAAAGTCCTTAGTGCTAGGCAAGCTAGATAGCTAGAGGTTATAAGTCCCTTTAACTTCTAAATTAAGTATACTCCTAGATCTTATAATGCCTAAGCTAATATCCTAAGTAGAAGGGAATAGGATATAATTAACCTTAAGACTACTTAAAGGGATAATTGCTTATAAGTAATAATTGCCCTAGATAGGTTATACCCCTAAATTAACTCTAACTTAGCGCAAGACTACCTAGCTAAGCGTTCCTTACTAATCCTTACTTTAATTATAGTAGTTTAGAACCTTATAACTCTTAAATCCCTAGAACTTATTAAAACTCTTCTTTAAGAAAATAGGTCCTTATTTCTAATAGAAAGATTAGAGTTACCTAAGCACTATTAGATAGAAAATAGACTCCTTCTCTACTAGGATTAACTTTGCGTGCCTGCTAGATTAGTCCTATACACTAGCCTAATTTATAAGGCTTATAATTAAGTGTCTACTACCTACCTATTAGCTACTAAAATATATTAGATTCTAGCCTAATATTACTACTAGAAAGGTATAGAGACTACCTATAAACGCTATATTTAGAACTATATCCTATATAGGAGAGGGCACCTAAGATAGCACTAACTCCTAGGCATGTTATACCCGTTTCCTATCCCTAGTCTACTAATGTAACACCTGTGCATTAATTTTAAGGATTTTCCCTAGGATTAACGTAGTTACAATTAGATTATAGTTATTATTAATTACCTATTAAAGCAAGCTATTACTATCCCTTGCTATAAAACTATAGACACCTAAGGTATAGCTACCTTATTTATTTAGTAGGTGTAATAATTTAGACACACTCTAGATACTATTATTTCTAATTAAGGCCCTTAGTTTATATCTAGTTTCTAGTCTAAGCTCTATTAGATTATAGGCACTAAAGTTAAGCTCTCTATAGCCTACTATAAGTAAACTAATAGATAAACTAAGATTATAAATAAGTATATTAATTATAGACTAAGGCCTTTTATATCCTATTACTAGGATTACTAGAGCAAGTTATTACCTATAATAGACTATACCTAAAGTACTCTCCTATATTTATCTATTAGTATAGCTCTATATTAGCTCCTCTTTAGCTCCTTACTAAAGTAAAGTTAGTATTAGAAACTAGAAAAGACCCTATATACTATACTAGAGAAACTAAGCTATAAGGATGCCTTATCCCTTACTACTTAGATAGACAAGGCATAGAAGATTACTAAAGAAAATATAGAAAGACCTTAGGACTAAATACACTCTACTACTAATTACTATTACTATCTAGTTAACTAGAAGGTTAGTAACTATATTTATTTATCTACTACTAATCTTACTATTTTATAACCTAGCTAAAAACTATCTAAACGCTAGGAAGGTCCCTTTAAGGTATTAGAGCAAGTAGGAAACGTATATTGCCTCTAATTACTACTTAGTTCTAAGATCTATAATATTTTCTCTCCTAAGGTACTATATAAAGATCCCTAAGACCTATTACCTAGATAAGAGGCTCTAAAACCACCTAGTACTCCTATATAAGGTGTAGAGGAATAGGAGGTAGAAGAAATCCTAGCTAGCAAATTATATTAATCTAAGCTAAAATATAAGGTTAAGTAGGTTAGATATAATCCTAATCCTATTTAGTATCCTACCTCTAACTTTATAGGAGCTCCCTATATATTATAGGTATTCTACTAATAGTATCTAAATTAGCTAGGTCCCCTATATAGCTTATATAAATAGATTTAAGCCTAGGAAAAAGGTAAAGAGGATCTAATATTACTTTATAATAATTATACCTAATATTATAACTAATTTATATCCTATTTAGCTACGTATTATCTATTAACTACTATCTATTATTATTATTCTTATTACTATTTATAATTATATCCTATTTAGAACTATCCTAGAACCTTTAAGTTCCCTAGGACACTACCCCTAGGAAACCTCTTTATTCTATATCTATCTCTCTATTAGAACCTAGTTTAGACTCTGTATTAGCTAAGATAGCGCCTAGACTATCTTTCTTAGCTAGCTTCTAGATAACTAGTGCAGTAGGTGTAGGAGCAGGTGCAGGAGTAGGTATAGGAACTAGAATAGATTTAGATGCCTTCTTAATAACTACCTTTATCTTAGCCTATATTACTAATATTACCTCCTAATTTAGCGCTGTTTCCTCCTTAAGTTTATTAATAGCCCTTATTATACCCCTAACTAATATAACTATCTTATAGATACTATTCTAAAGCTAATATAAATTAGATATAGCAGCGTAATAGGTAGCTATAAGAATCTTAGTAGCTTCTATACCCTTAGTCTAAGTATTAGTAATAGTAATATACTTAGCTAGGTTTTAGGTAGTTTCTTAAATAGTAGCCTTAAACTACTTAATATCCTTCTAATAAGTAACTATAGCTTCCTTATCCTTATCCCCTTTAGCAGGGTTTGCTACTAGGCTATAGTACTTATCTAGAGTACCCCTAAGGGCAGAGTACTCTTAGCTAATAAAAGAAGGAATCTACTAGGATTAGTAAAGGAACCCTATTAGACTTAGATACTTACTAGATTGTAATACTTATTCTAGGAGATATAGTACTAGCACTTCTTAGAATTCTTTAACTTAAAATTAAAATTGTTAAACCTGCCCCTAGCTAGAGCCCTAACTACCCTTATATAGAGAGCGCGATAAGCAATAGGGAGGACTTCTAGTAGTACTAGTACTAGTATAGCTAAAGGTTCTAATTTAGATTAGCAACTACTTAAATATATAGATTAAATACTTCCTAGATTTTAGATAAATTAGGTTAAATAATTAAAAAATAGGGGATATAGGAATAAGAAAGTTAGTAGGTAGAGGGCTAGTTATAGGCAGGCTAAGGATAGGGGTCTATGCCCTAGGAATAAAAAGTAAAGGTAAAGGTAGAGGTAAAGGTGGATTTATTTTGCAAGAGCTTTTCTTTAATAAGGGATCTAAACCTAATCCTAAGGATAGGGACTATCCTTTCTCTATAGAAGGGGGTAGTGTAATAATAAGGTAGAATTACCTGCCTATTATTCTACACTAAGTTAGGCCTAATAAAGGCCTAACTTACTAATATATATAGAGAGTAGCTCGCCTATAGTTAGGATAGGCATGTTCTTCTTATCCTTTTATACAAGACCTATAGGTGTAGGAATCTTATCCTTTTCTGTATAGACGCGCACTCCTATATGCCTTTAAGTCCTATAGGATACCTTTTGGATGCCCTACCTACCTAAGTTGTTATAACTACTATAGTAAAGTAGACTAGTTACTATCATACTTTATTTAGATTTATTACCTACTCTACCTTATATCTAATACTAGGGATTTTAGACTATATATATACTATACCTTATAGTCTTTAGAGAGGCTTATTAGTTATATTAAGAAGATAGTAACTTCTCCTTCCTAGAAGTATATTAGTTTCGAGTAGAATATACTAGTATATATATATATTATCTATATATAATAGCTTAGGCTTAGTATAGAGTATAATATTAATAAAAATATAATTATAACTTAACTATAAGAGCACTATCTAAAATCTAAGTCTTATAGTAGTATAGATACGTACTAGGGACATATCCTAGATAATACTTATACTATAATTATAACTATAGTATATACTATATAGACACGCGCCTAAGATATAGTTATATATAACTATTATATACTTCTAAATAGGTATACTATTAGGGTTTTAGGGAATTATAAAGATAGTAACTACCCTTAGAGCACTATATTAATTATATATTACGCTGCTAGAAATAATTATAATAACTATATTTAGCTCTCCTTTAGGATAGTAATATACCTATTTTAAGATCTAGCTAATAACTCTAAATAGGTAGAAGTACTTTAATAGTAATAGATATAACCTACTACTACTATAGGCTAACTAGCCTAACCTTAAAGGATAATAGAAGATAATAATAATAGAATTAAATAGATTTAAATAATAATAATTATTAACCTTATAGGAGTAGCTATAGTTTACTATAGATATAGCACTTAACCTTAACCTAGTAATAAGCTATATATTATTAATAAACGTAGATAGTCTAACACTAACTACCTATATTTAAGTAATTATAGAGGTCTATATCTAGCTTTATAGTACTAGGCTCTTTATACTAATACTATTACTATATAATATACTAGTATTTATTAGGTAAGTATATTACCTATATATTATACTAGACTATTATTAGATATACTAACTTATAATAATTACTACGCAGTTATACTACTTATATACCTATTTAATTTATATTATATTATAGTTTTCTAAAAATAAATAAGGTACGTAGTAGATAGCCTTATAATTATATAGGTATAGGCTAATTATTACGTAGGTATAGGCTAATAATTAGGTAGTTTTAGGCCTGTTAATTAGGTAGGTATAGGCTATTAATTAGGCAGGTTAGGCCTAGGGACAGGATAGGTAATAATATACTAGTAGTTTATATAAGGATACTAAAAAAAATCTAATACTATTATTACTATACCTAATACTTATATTTTATCTTTTATAAACTACTTTATATACTCTACTAATAGGTCTATTATAAACTACTTTATTTACTTTACTAATAGGTCTATAGTAAACTACACTATATTAATACTATAAAAAAGTAAACTACTACTTTAAACCTATTTATAGGTATATATAAGGTTAGTTTACACCTATATAGTAAACCCCTAGCGTACTATTCTACAGTAAACAATTTTTTACCGTAGTGACATTGGAAAGATCTCAATTCCTTCCAGCATGCCCCCAATCGAATTCCTGAACTTAAAGTATCCTCCGGAGAAGCTGAATAAATTTGTAGTCATGGTAACGAATGAACGTTTATGTGTGGCGTGTGTCAGGTTAGCCCCGCTGCGCGATTTCGTCAAATGACGTCGGAATTATCAACGGCTACGGTATTCCAAACTCGACTTTTCATTATTAAAAGGATCCAATCTGGTTTCCAACACGCAATTTTCATAATTCTCACAGGCGCAATCATGATTCACCAAGCGAGCACCAAAAATGTCCCAGAGGAGCATCAAATGGAAAGAAGAGGTCTGTGGCTACCAGCCGACCACAGAGTTCACAAGAAATGGCTATCTGGAGTCGTCGATCGTGTCGACGGCAAATCACAGAAACTTCACCCAGTGATTCAGGAGTTCAAAGAGTTTATTGAGAATAATACACGCATCTTCCTCCTCGCGTCTTCCATGTTCGAAGAGATCCCGTCGAAGAAACCGTACCACCGGGATCCTGCAGGACACAAGCAGATACGAGACTACAATCACTTGCTGGAAGTTTTCAGCCACCTTCTCACTACAGCGCCAGAGTGGAGCGATCATGACTACTCTGTGGGTATTGTCGGGACACCGTTCAATGCTGTGTTAGACTGGCAAGTTGATCTTACAACGCACATGGAGCATATTTTAACATCCTACAACAGGCCAATGGGTACACCGAGTGGGTACGCTTTCTTCCTGGACCCCGAGGTCAATAAAATGATCAAGAAGATTCTGAACACTTGGGCCAAGTTTTTGGACTCCCCCGAATCAGCATACGTGCTAGGTAGCGACAAAATCGGCTGGTTCAGCGACCATGCGGTGCAAGACCTAGCAACCGTCGCAAACATCGGGCAGACCTCGTACAAGTTCGAAGAATTGTATAAGTGCGACCCATCGAAAGAGCACTGGGGTTTCAAATCATGGGATGACTTCTTCGTGCGCCATCTTCACGAGGATAAGCGACCAGTTGCCAGCCCGGAAGACGACACCGTGATAGCAAATGCCTGCGAAGCTAAACCATACAATGTAGCGCGCGACATCAAAGCCCGAGATCGGTTCTGGATCAAAGGCCAACCCTACTCTCTCATCGACATGTTATCCATGGACCCCCTTTACGAACAATTCGTCGGAGGCACAATCTACCAGGCTTTCTTATCCGCCCTGAGCTATCATCGTTGGCATGCGCCCGTGAGCGGCAAGGTCGTCAAGGCGTACGTCGTAGACGGCACCTATTTCTCTGAGCCCCTCTTCGAAGGCCTCGGCGACCCCAATGC